TATATCTTAAATAATTGTTACAATGATGTGTGAGCATATCATTACATTATTTTAACAACCGATGAAGTTCTTAATGACTTTGCAAAAGACTCAAGGAAAATAAGATTGCTATAGCTTGTAATTTATATTGTGAAAAAATATTTTAATACTAATATTACAATTTAAAGTTTCTTTTTATATTTTTACTTGTTCATAATAAGTCAATAAAATTGTACTGCGTGTCTGCGTGTTTAATATTAATATTCATAAATATCATTATTCAGCTAATCAAAAATGTATTATTCAATTAGCGTACAAGGTACAACTCAGTATATTTTAGCGCATTAAGTTTTACCGCTCCTGAACAATATATTTTAGAGGTGAGCAAAAACAAAGAGGTCATTAACCCCCCCTCCCCTCGTGTAATTCCTGGCTACGCCACTGGGGTAGATAAAACACATAATTAGACGGACAAAAAGTTATGATTGCATGTCGCTATGCCAGTGGTTCTTAACCTTTTTTGAATGACGAAACAATTAACATTTAATAAGGTTTTCGCAGAACACAAGTTTCCGATGACAACAACTTACAAGGAACATTGTTTTACATTTTAAGTTTGTTGACCAAGCAAAAAATTTTTTATCGGCATTAGATAAAAAAAACAAATAATAATCGAAAATTGTATAAGTCTATAAATAGTTCAACACAAGTCAATATGTTTTGAAATGTTATGGTGTATAGAAAACACTTACACAAACATTCAGTGAAAATTTCATAAATTTCATCTACAGTCATTTTTGTAAGAGTTACACTAAAATCCAAAATCGATTTTTTCGAAAAATGGTTTTACGTAAAAATTCCCGTTTTTCCTTAATTATTTGTTTGTTTTTCCTGTAACTTTTGAAAACTGTTGGGAATTATTAATTTTGACCTCCCGAATGCATCAACTAGATTCACTTCCCCGCCAGAAAGGTTCGTGTTGAAGAATATTGAAGCACTTTTACTATAAGGAACAGTGGTGAAAGACATTAAAAAAAAAATAATAAATAAATAAGTATAAAAACACACATCATTGTAAAATCAATACATTCATCGCTCCGGTCAGAATCTAAAATATTATACTATTGAGTTTTAATTTATATTTGGTAATTTAAATTTAATGCAGTACCTATCTAACATTAGACTTAACCTCCAAGTGCTGGAAATTACAAAAAAGCTTGCAGTTCTTTTCCTAATACTTTAATTGGTTTTCAAATCATTTTGACGATTCTTATTGGGTAGGTACTTCTGCTAGCGCTGAGAGATCATTCTCAAAACTAAAGCTCATAAAAACATATTTGAGGAATACAATGACGCAAATCAGATTATCTAGATTATCAATAATACCCATATAGAAAACGAAATGGCTTCATAACTAATCTATGACTCAATGATCAAAAAAGTTTAAAATGTAATACACGATTCCTCATAAGTTGTTGTGTTTATACATTTTAAAAAAGTCGATCGTAAGTCTGCAATAATTTTTTTATGAGCTTCCGAAGTTCAAATTTTGACAAACTTCGCTATCGTGGGTACCTACCAAAACACATTTAATTTTTCGTTGTATCACTTGTTGACTGAACTTTTTATTGAAAATAATAAATTACAGCACACACAAAAAATAACCAGTGCTTACATTTTTTTATTTTTTTTTACAAAATCGAGAGAAATGTTGATTAACAACACGAACGTATATAATAAGTAGGTGTATAAGGTATAAATGTATAATAATACTTTTATATTAATTTATCAATATTTATTAGTCTTATTAAGATTATCATTTATTATTTTTAATTCTGAGTGGAGCGATAAATGTATGTATTAATTGTACAATAATGTGTGTGTGTGTGTTTTTTTTTGTGTGTCTGTCGATATGTTGTCGAAATAATGCTTCGATTTTCAACTTTAGTATCTTTTCTGGTGGGAAAGTGAATCTATAGTTGGTGCATTCCAAAGCACATTATTTTGAGTTCGAAATTCATAAAAATTGTTCTTCTTATATGTAAGATTTAAAAATTAAAAACAAGTTTTCTTATAAGTTTCCCTACGTTCATCAAAAAAAAAAATTCTACCGGAAATACAAATTACATTTTTATGAGCGTTTGAAGTTAACATTTTTACAAAACTGGATATTCACTCTATTCCTCATGTAGCGCTTTTCTTATTTTGTAATTAAAAAACGAATAACTGTAGACACTTGAAATGTACACCATATGTTCATTTCATCAATTCATATACTTTACAAAATGTACAAAATATTTTCACTGGTTTTAAGCTGTTGAAAATTTAATACAAGGCTTCTGATGTATTATAACAATAGCAGTTCAAAAATATTAAAAATACATAGAAATTAATTTGTTTTATAAGCATTTAAAGTTCAAATTTTGACAACATATATCAAATCGAAAATTTAAACATTATTTTGTAGTTAAATATTTATAAAATGTTTAACTTTTATAGCTAATGATCGAAATTTCAATACATGGTTGTACTCAAATAGTTTATTCTGTAACCAAAAAATCTAAAAAAATATATATTAAACACAATTTTATTTTATAGCTATTTTAAATTCAAATTTGGACGAAATTACATATTTAAGCCATAAATAACGATTTTAGTTATTTTATTGTAATTTAAAAATATTTTTGTGGGTACTGAAATTATTATATTTTATACACACATTGACATTTTCAAATGGATTTTTTTGACAACAATTATTAACTTAAAATACTATATATTATTACTAATGCCTAGTATAAAGTAAAATAAATTACTTTTTAATCCCTGTAATATCATAAAATATACTTACTCAGGAATATTATAGGTTGACAAACCGTCTTCGCTCAGAATCGTTTTTCGTATACAATGATTTTATATCATTGAATTCAAGTTGAACACATCCATTACAATGATTCTATAGACATCCGATGGACAGCAGAATGTAACACACTTACCCGCTTTTTATATACCTACCTATTACATAAATTATATTTTTATATTTTTCTGTGGGGAAGCGCTCGTTATAATAATAATATGTCTACGGATAAACAAGATTACGTTTTCAGAACCAAACCGCTACTGAATGATAACGTTGCTTCCAGCATTTCTTATCGTTGCGCATCGGTACGAGCCGCTAAAATTTCAAAACAGATACATTTCTGTTATCTATTTACATTGTCCCCCTGTGCCACAACAATTAAGGAACTGTTGACATTTTTGATTATAGCTCATGAAATTTGTTTAAACTTTATAATTATTGTTTTATGAATTATGATTAAATGGAGGATCTATTCGGAACAGGCTTATAAGCTTGTTTATAGAACTGGGTGGAGAATTCGGTAACAGTGGACGAGGAGATTACCATCGTTCATCGCAAATCAGAGATGGAAGACTCAGAGCCTTCCAACGGTGTAGAAGTCAAGAATCGCAAGTCCGGACTGACTATAGAGCCAATCATAATGTTAATAAGTCTCGGAATGTACTCAAACCGTAAGTCCCTATTCGTTATTTTTTTGTCCTTTTGAATGATGACTTGGGATGTGAATCAAATGCACCACAAAGCCTTAAAAAGTAATAGATGTATAAAAAAATCAGAAATGCTACATAAAATTTAAAATTGGATTTGTTGTTACATAATTCAAACTTTCTGGTTTTTGCTCTTCAGATTATTTTGAAAATACAGGGAAATTGTATGTTTGACCTCCAAAGTACCCATTAGATCCAATTTTCTACTAGAAACCTCCGTCAATAATTAAAATCTAAGCACCTTTACTGCTCCAAAAACTGACACATAATAAAAAAACGCACACATCGTAAAATCAATACATTCATAAGTCATTGCTCCGTTCCAAATCCAAAAAACTATATAAATATGCATTTATGAATTATTTAAACCTAGTAAAGTCGCTCTACTGTATAGTTTATTTTGAGTATACTTCATCAATATTGTATTGGATTGCTTTTTCCAAAACAAATCAACTATATTTTATAAGAATTAAATTTAAAATACCACTGACAAACTATGTAGATTGTTGTAAATATATGTTTGCAGTATAAATAGCATATTATTTTTACTAATCTAAATATTTTCAATATTTCATCGAGTATAGAAAACAATAATAAAGTAATGGTAAAAAGTTTTGAATGCTTAGGTTAATATTTCGAGTAGAAATCATTATTTTAAGACGACTCCACACCCTCATGTGTTGTCTCTGTCTTACAAGTATGTAACATACCAAATTTACTGCTTTTCATGTTTATGCTACTAGCTTAATAATTAAAGTGAATCGACTTTTTTATTTTGAAACTTGATGGTAAGAACTTTATCTGTGTTTTGTTGGAAGTTTTTTTACAATAATTCAGTTTTTAAGTGAGGTATGCTTATGTAATAAATGTAAATTTCAAATGCTCATAACTCACTGAAAAACTGAATTATTGTAAAAAAATTTCCTACAAAACACAGATAAAATTTTTACCATCAAGTTTCATAATAGGGTGATTCACTCTAATTTTTAAGATAATGGCATAATGTGAACTGCTGAGCTTAAATTTGGTATGTTATGCGTTTGTTAGACAGAGACAATACATGCGGGTGTGGCGTCCTCTTAAGTTCAAATGTCCAAGTATCCAATTAAAATATTTATAAAAAAATTCTGCAAATGTATTTTTGATATATTTAGATTGCTTTAAGAATAACTTATGAAGAATTTCATATTTTTAAGCCTAAATTATTTAAATTGAAAACCTCAGTTAAACTTGTATTTTATTTGCAAGCTTTTAAGCAAACTAAGTAATTTTTAATAATTATTTATAAAAAAAAGCTAAAATTTCAAGTTCTAAATATTTTTAAAGTTTAAATAGCTAACAACTAGAAGACATTTTTTCAAATTGTTAGTATAAAAAATTATAATTTATATGGAACAACAAAAAGTTTGAAGTCATTTCCTATTTATATGTTCAATTTTGTACAAATTTTAACCCAAGCAAACAACAATTGGCTATTTGTAATCATGATGGGAAACAATACATAGAAATCACACCGCTGAATCAAGATTTGAAATTGTTACCTACTCCTAGCATAAATTATATCACCTATGAGCTACCTCTTATCTTACCTATAACCATTATTCTTATAACTTGCTACTTAAATCTATAAAATATTTAAATCACCAACATGTGTATTATTTATTGATTTCAGTGATGGTACAGACAAATCTATTTGAAGAACGTGTATGCCTCCATAGTGATCTCGGACAAAATAAGTCTGTGAATTGTTATAATATGACTGCAGCAGATCAAGAAATAGTTCAGCCTGCTGTGGCAAATTTAAAAATGATTAAAAATCTGATTGAGACATTGGCGCCTTGTATAACATTATTGTTTTTAGGCCCCTGGAGTGATGTAAACGGTCGCTTGCCTTTGTTATTAACAGCAATCTCAGGTGGGAAATAATTTTTATTTAGTAAGGTACTTAACATATACTGTACAATTGCTTCAAATTTAAGGTTTGGTAATATCTAACTGTATGTACAGTGTATTTTCTACGATTTCAAGTCTGCCTCCGATAATGTTTTTGCTGTGCAGCATACCTGTTGCTGTCAGTGGTGGCAATAGTGCATTGTTTATGGCTGCATTATGTTATATTGTTGACATCACTGATTGCAAATCAAGAGCTTTCAGGTAATGAATTCAAAAAGTATATTATTTATTTATTTGAATTAAATGTGCTTAAGAACCCATTGACATGTATAATGAGTAATAAGTTGACAGTGTTTCAAGTATGATTGATTACATTGTATACAGGATTATTGGCAGAATTTGGATAGTTGGGTTTTTTTAGTGGGGGGGGGGGATTGAGGGGAGGTGACAATTCTGTACTTAAGGTTCACAGGCCCACTGAAGACATTTTTAGTAATATATACTTGATAATATATCAATATATAATACACAAATTAAACTTCATTGGAATAATAAATAAATAAATAAATACGTGTACTGTAAAATTAATAGGTTTAAATACTGAACTCAACATTCATCAATTAAAATTAAAATGTATTTTGTTTTTATAAAATATTTTATAACTTTTCAAATTTAATTATATTATTTATTTTTTATACTAACTATAAGAATAATATTTAATTTTGTACATCTTGATATTAATTATTAATCATGATCATGTTTGTTTACTGATTATCAAGTTAGATACCATACCCCATAATTTATTTTTTTTTATTTTTTTATTTAACCGTTGTTTGTTAGGTACCCACTGAATATAGATTTAAGAATAAATTATATCTAAACAAAAATGAGAAGGGATGTTGTAACCAAATTTCTACTTAATATTTTGTAAAAGTTCCTAAACTGTTCATTAGATGTATTAACAAATTTGGTGTAAATGTGATAAATTCTAGTTCTTAAGCTTACTGCTGTTATTAAAACAGCATTGCATTTGGTTAGTTCTCTGCGTCCCAGAACGCTTTCTGGTCAGAAAGTGGGAGGTCAAAATTCAAAATTTCCAATAGTTTCCAAAAGTAACAGTAAAAACAAACAAAAAATGAAGGAAAAACTAGAATTAATACACAAAACATATTAATTTTTCTAAAAAATCAATTTTGGTTTTTAGTGTAACTCTATTTTCACTGAATATTTGTGTTAGAATTTTCTTTACACCATAAAATTTTCAAAATATTTTGACTTTTGTTGAACACAACACATGAATATTAATAAGAAAATGAAATTTTCAATTATTATTTGTTTTTTTTAAACTAATGTCGATAAAAATTTTTCGCTCAGTCAAAAACCTTGTTAATGTAATACAAGGTTCCTCGTAAGCTGTTGTTGGTGAAAATTAAAAAAAAGTTGATCTTACACCTACAGTAATTTTTATGAACTTTTAAACTTTTGACATAATTCGTAAAAAATCACGGAAATTAGCAAATTATATTTAGTTAGAAATTCATAAAAAATGTTCTATATATATCTAAGATTTTAAAATTTATTACAAGATTGATTTTAAAATTGTCTACCTTTATTAAAAAAAAAATTCCACCGGAAAGTCAAATTAAATTTGTATGAGCGTTTGAAGTTAAAATTTAAAATTGAATATTCACTCGATTTGTCTTGTAGAGATTTTTTTATTTTGTTGTAATTCAAAAATTGAATTGTAGTTAAAATTTTGACAATGTTTATCAAATTGAAAATTAAAAATGATTACAATTTTCAATTTTTATAGCTAAGGATTGAAAATTTAAAACAAGGTGGGAACCTTGTTAAGCAGTTTTTTCTGTAACTAAGAAGCCTAAAAAATATATGAATATGGTTATTTTTTACACATTTTAAGTTAAAATTGGACAAAATTGCATATTAATACACAGAATAATGTTTACCATTTTGTTGTAATTCGGTTCTAAAATAGCCCAATTTTACATAGGTATATTTAATATTTTTCCGGCATCGCTGATAATTTAAGAATAATATTAATTCAACTTACCAACTACAATATTAATAATAATTAACAACAATATAAAATGTCGTTAACTGACATAGCGACATAATCGTTTTTTATATACATAGATATTATATCGTTGAATTTAAATTTAATACCATCCATTACAGCGACCTCCTAGACTCCTAATGTACAGCAGAGCGACATCCATTTACCCCCTTTTTTTATTTTAATGCTAATTTATATTGTTTTATCAAATAATAACATGAATAATTAAACTAGAATTTTGAAAATCAATTTATTTATTAAATTAAAACTTGTGGTAGTTTCAGTTTTATTTAAAGAATATTAAACCCACCCATTACCTCTTTAAAGTGGTTTTCTGCCAACTTAAGATAAATATATTTGACGCTGGCTGGTCACTTTGCCTCAGGATACGTTGTATATTATTCTAACCTAATGATTATATTATTTTAATTTGATTGTAGATTCTTTTTTATCAAAATAGAAAATTTACAATCTGTAGCATAGTATGTACAGTAAGCGAATAGAATAAATGATGGAGAATATTTACATGACACTATATTTATGAGGAGGGTAGTTGTCTAGTGACAGAACCCTCAAACAATGGGGTTAGGGACAATGGGGTTAGGGATTTAGTAAAACCCTGCGCCAGCGTCTTTTTAGCTGCCGGATGGGATTATTTAGTGATTTGTCTCCACCTCGATCATTCTTAACTATTTATTTTTGTCTACATAGGTTAGGTGTGTTTTATGCATTTACCAACTTTGGCTCAATACTTGGATCTGTAATGAGTACAATATTGTATGGTAAATCTTCTACGTATTCATTTTGCCTATCATCATTTGCTTCGATTGTTGGACTCCTTTGTACTTATATTTTTTTAAAGGAAACAGTAACCACCAAAGAGGTATACATTTTGTCTTGTGTTGTAATAGTTTTTAAGATTTTTTAAGAATAGTTTCATAAATTTATCATATTGTACTCAATGTCTAGTTTTAGTTGTATACAAATTGCTAATTATATGAACAGATCCTTTATTTCAGCTTTATGTCCTGTTGTCTTGACAAACTTTTTTTGGTACAATGCCCTGTTTTTATCTCAATTGCTTGTATGTATATATGCATATGCATACAATTTACATATACCTATATATTATATACATATTTTCTTGTTTAATTTAAATTTCTGTGTAACAATATTATGTTATTGATGATGACAGTAATGTTCTAGAAAAAAATTTTCACAAAAATTTATATCAGTTAAAAATTAAAATACATTTATATACCTATATTATGTAATGTAGTGTTTGATGTAGCTCATTGTAGTATCTCTCAAGTATATTATTTTAAAACATTTTTTCCGCCTATGAATGTACACGTTTATCATTAACTCTATAAAATCTAGAGTTTAATTAATTCCTCAAGAAGTAACCACTACATATTACAAAACAACCGAACCTGATCCAACTGGTAAACATACAACATGTACCTACCTGTACAAAATCATAGGTATCAGCCAATGTGATTTTGTGTTTCTAGTTAGCTGGTTAAGCTTTTTAACATAATCATTTGTTTTTTTAACTTTCTGAGAAATTTGTGAAACTCAAAAATGAAAAGTAAACAATAGATACTTATCTTGTGACATTAATAGACTTTATAAACAAATGCTGGAAAATATTTTAAAACACTAAAGGAAATCTTGCGGGTCATAATTTCCTTGAATTATCATTATATGCTACAAATCTTTTCTAATTTTGTTTCATTACATTTTTACAGGGTGCAGATCCAAAACTTTTCAACATCAAACTGGTAAAAGATATGTGGCAAACTGTTATGAAACAACGATTTGGCTTCTTGAGATGCATAATTATACTATCTGCTGTGTTATTAACTATCAATTTAATCATTTTATTTGGTAAATATCAAGGGTCATTTTTTTAAGCATGCTTACCCCATTTTTATGATTAAAATATTCAAAAATATTGAATGTAACTACACTTAAAAATTGCAAAAATCAGAATATTAATGTGTGTATAATTTAAGCATAAAAATAGGGAGAGCATGCTCAAACAATTGCTTTGTATATTATACAAGTTAGCGGCCAACTTTAGCAGTTTTCAACCTTTTTTGAGTCTGCGACCCCCTATAATGCCACCAAGATGTCCAACGACCCTTTTGTAATATAAGCATTAAAAAGTTGTTATTTTTCTTGAAATGATTTATAAATAAATGGTAAATAGTATAAATTTATATATTATATAACACTTACTATCATCTATAAGATTCTAAGTGAAAAAATGTAGTCTAGCCCCTTGGTTGAGAATTGCTGAGTTAGCCTATGTTGCAGTCAATGACATATTTTAAGACTTGGTTCATATACAAAAAAATAAACCATTGAGTATATCAATGAAATCCAATATACCCTACCTAAATCTAATGTATTTATAATAATAATTGAATTTTATCTTAGGAGAAAATTCTTTCATGTACATGTACCTACAGAAACAATTTTCGTGGACGTTGGAAGACTATACACCGTTTTTTGTGTATACTACACTTATACATGGTTAGGGGATGACAGTTTCATGACATTATGAGGATATATATTATACCTAATTACTGTATTAATTTTTTCAGCTACCTTTCCTGTGATCGTTGTTTATGTGTTAAATACCAAATTACAATTGCCTGAGATGTATATTGGTACTGCTGTTGCAGCACTTGGAATTTTTGAAAAGGTTGGTTTGGCATACTCGGTGCACCAGTGGCAATTTTACACCATGAAAACTGTTGAATTCACCATGTACATTTGTCAATCGTTGGTTCGGTCTCAATTATCCAAGAGTTTTCCATCTGAAGATTTATGTAAATTTATATATTATTTAAGCTACTTAGATAGCCACAATGCAAACAAATGACACAAAAAACAACATGTAGACAATTTCTAATCTCGTCGTCCCATCAGTGATCTTTGCGTTAATTTAGGGCAGTGATGAAGTTATTGCAATAAAAAAACTCACTAAATTGATTGCATTATTACATTAAAATATATTACTATGGGTATTGCAAAAAAAAGTAAATTATATTGGAAATAGTACAGTTTTAAAAAAAAAAAACCAAAAATTATGTTTCTAATTTTTTGTAACGGAATATTACTTAACATCAACGTACATAGTGCATACCATAGATTGGACAAAATATTTAACTTGGTACTATTGCTACTTGGTAATTTATTGTTGAACTTTTTAATTTATGTTATCAGTTTTTCTATTCACTACTACTATTATTATTATTATTATGTGTTTATTTCAAAGATTATTGGACCCCACTGTGCCAGGAACGGCACTAGAATTTTTTTCCAGAACGGGTAGAGTGGGACAAATATTTTTTTTTACAAGAGCTAAGGTTTTTTCAACAAATACTAAGATTATTTAAATAAAATTAAATAATAATATAGTTATTAACTGTATACTATATACGTTTTTATATTTTATGCTCTAAACATACAATATGTACAAACTTTTGAATAGGCCAAAATATTTTAAGAATAATGTCAAATATTTTTTATGTGCCTTGTGTATGAAAATGTTTAATCACAGACCTTCAACAACTATATTAATAATGATGTACAAAAATTATAAATTTCTCTTTTATATTACTTATCTTTGTGAATGAATAGTTATGTTTTGTTTACTTTCATTTCATAAATATAAATTAAAGTAATTGTGTTTAGCAATGAACAGATGAATTTGTTTGACTCAGCTTTAATGGAATAATTAGGTATACCTTTGTTTGTTTATTTTCATCCAGTAATTTGAACTCAATAAAGGTAATAATTAGGGCTCAGATGACTTAGTATATTTTTTTCTCGTAGCCGTAATTACACCGGAGTGCGATATAAATTTGGTTCATACTACAAAAGTTGACAATCTTTTTTTGCACATTTGTCATTTTTGAGTATATAAATGCATATGTTGATCATTTCTAGATTTAGTGGCATATTTATGATAATTTAAATATAATATATATATCACTTTATACGGACGGCTATAATTCATTATAGAAAGTCAACTCGTTTGATGTTATGGTACTAGGTCACTTTGGTTGAGTAAAAATAAAGATTGTAGGACAGTAGAACACAGACACTTTGCAGTTTGTACTATTATATACATAAAGTATATATAATATAAACAAGTCTGAAGTCATAACCAATTATATTTAAAATGTTTTTAATAGCTTAAATGCCATGTAGTATATCTAATTTTGTATTAAAATTTTAATTTATGAATATTTCATAGCACCAAATAATATACTAAACCAGCTAACCTATAAATTAAAAAAAACTGCATTTTAAACTATAGGCCGTACAAAGCTTATGTTATAGTCTGGACTAAGAAGGCAATTTGTATAAAAATTTTCGACTTTTTTAACTTTGGAGGCAACTTGTACCTATGCTCCTGTCTATGCGAGTAATGGCACCCGCGCACACCCTCTTACGAAATAGCCTATTTTTAACCTTTATAAAACTAATGGTTTGTATTGTTATTATGATTTCAGGTAAAATATTTGCATTCCTATGTGTAATCGAAAATTTTGGAGTATTACTCTACTCGCCAATGTACACTGCTGTCTATGTTACAACAATCCATGATTTTGCCAATTGCTTCCTCTTCTTATCTGCAATACTTTGCATGTTCATATTTGTTTTATTCGGGTGAGTTTATATATTTTCTGTTAAGCCAAGTTGGTTAAATGAAAAACTTTATGCGTTTATATATTATAATCTATAATTTATGTGAGGCGTGTACAGTTAGATGACTGTCTTACGTCAAACGGATTACCCGGTACATTGAAGTAGGCTATTATATTTTACAACAGCGGTCAACAGACTATGCTACTGCAGTAAATTGTTTTACCCTATAGCTCTTATATATTGTCACAAGCATAACTAATAAACAGTACTTATTTCAGTATTAATTTCTCTAATTAATAATTAATATAAATTCCTCAAAAGACGATATATAATAGCAAAAAAAATAACTGTGAAGTCAATCTGCTATAAATTGTAGGTACCTACAACTACATTACTGATTTGGTGGCTAAACAACTGGGTTTCTTAGGCCTAAGTGTCATTCACAATGTAGTTATTGCCTTGTAGGTAATAACACTGTCTTCAATGTATCTATTATGGCGCACACCTAACAGTTCAACATAAAAAAGGAAAAGTATTTGAAAAACAATAGTGTAAAATTCACTGACATGTAAAATATTTGAGTGAATGTATTTAAATACATTTTAAAATCCAATACTTTTATGTAAATATTTTGTAATTACTTTTAAAAATCCAAAAGATTATGTTTTGATAACGGTTATACATATTATTTAATTTGTGAGTAAAATCAAATTTTTTAATATTTATTTATTTTATATTTCATTAACAACCGTTTATTGTTTAATTTATATGAAAGTATTTCAGAATTAAAATAATATCAATTTTTATATTTTTTATTGTTATATGGAGTAGGTAATACAAAGTTCTAATGAATAATGATACTTAATGTAATATTAAAGTTTTAAATTAGTTAGTAGTAACTAGTCTCAAAATTAATTTTCTTACCTACTTGTTCAGTTAAATAAACAAATTAAAAGTGTTTAAAATTATTGAATCACACCAAGTATTAGTTCTTTAATATATTTTCTTTAAAGTTTTTGAAATGTATTTTGAATACTTTCTGAATGAGTATGTTAATATTAAAGCGTAAATTAAGTTATTGTATGAATAAACGTATTATTTCTGTAAAAATATTAAATGCATTGTTAAGAGGCATATATTTGATAATTTAGCTAGATGTTGTATAAAATAACTAGTTATTGACTATTGTATACAATATTTGCATACCAGATCTCAATGTACCCGATTTTCTTGAGGAATGTCTTGAATTAAAAGAAAATTTTCTTAACAAATAGTAAATTAGGATTTAGCATATAACTGTTTCTAGAACACAAAGATAAATATGAATTATAATGTTCAATGTTTAACTAAGTAGTCATTATATTGAGTACAATTTTAGTGATAACTTAATAGAATTTTAAAGTAAAGAGAACATTTCAGATAAACCACTCATCATTTAAAAACATTTTGTTAAGAGGATGGTACCCACGCTTTTGTTGTCTCTGTATTACCAACTTACGACGTAGCAAATTTTCATTCAATAGTTTAAATAGTGCGCCGTTTGTTTTGATATTAGAGTGAATTTAAGTATTATCAAACTTTTAGGGAAGAACATTATCTATTGGCAAATTTTCGATATTTTAATTTCAAGCAAGATACAAGTATATGAAATAACACAAATCAAATACTCTCATATCTCGCTTGAAAATTGAAATATCCAAAAATCCGCCAACGCTTTAGCATGGATAATGTTCTTACCTGAAACTTTTGTAATAGGTCAATTCACTCTAATGTCAAAACTAACAGCACACTATTAAAACTAGTGAACGTAAATTTTCTATGTTATACGTGTGTAAGACGAAGACAACAAATGCATGTGTAGCATCCTCTTAAATAGTAACTTAATATTATATAAACGTATCAGTTGTTACCAAGCTGATAAAATCTGTCTTCAGTGATTTTAATAACAACAGCAATAACTGAACAAGGATCTCCTCTTTCTCTGTTTATGTCAGGTATTTTGGTGGGTACAGATGAAAGATGAACCTTATTTTTATCAGAAGAAGTTTGGCATTTGAAAAATGAACCATGTTTTTGGCTTGTTTTTCTAAATTTTTATTGGCCAGTTTTCATTCCTTCGGTAATTTTTGTCATTTTTCCTAGTGATATTTTATTGTTCCTCTTCTCTCGTTAGCATTCCCTGCAGAATGTAATATTATTTAAAGTATGACTTATATATATATATTTTTATTTTTGAATTTAATATAATGAAGTAATAAATAGAACAAACTATTTGTTAAATCCTAATTTTAAGTCCTTTTGACTAAAATTAGTCAAATTGACTAATTGACAATCCCATTTGTCAAACAGATCTGGGACATCTTCTGAAATTACAGTACAAATATTGAATACAATCTTACCTCATTATTTAAATGAGCTGTTCTGCAGATTTCTTGGTGCAATGTAGTATCTTCACTTGCTATTCCATTTTCTTTTTCAGTTTTACTACCTTCCTAAGACATACAGTATTACGTGTTAATTTCAAATTGGTTAAAAACTACAAAGAGAAAAACTTAGTGCAATGAAAATAAGAATAGGTTATAAAAATAAATATGTTAAGTAGTAGTGGGCACAGAAAATATTTTTTTAAATAAATAATAGATACTTGAAATTTGATCACATGCACAATCATTTTTATAGATTGCCTAGAAATATTTAAAGTACCTAAAATAAGAGACAAAACAAATTTTATTAAATTCCTAGGCAAAGAGTTAATACTATAATATAACTAGTCATATCAATTATTTTATTAAATGCCTAGATTTTATATGAACTACCTTAATTCAATACTTTAACAGTAACAAATATATTTGTATCTGTATTTAAAATTGAAATACAAATTTTAGATTATTTTTTACAAGATCGTGAGTTGATGTGTACAGCAAAGTTGACTTGCTCCCATCCCAATTCAAACAAAAGCACATTTATTAAGATAACATACTTATGTTTGACTCAATTGCTTGCCCTCCAATTAAGTTACCCAGTTAGTTGACATTAACCACTTTACTGTAGCTTATAAAATTTAAACAAACCATAATCATGTATAAATATTACACCGGGTTGAAAATTATTTTATTTTTCTAATATATTGTGTACCTACAAAGTACAATAGATTTTAAATATTATTGTATGGTTAGCAATATTTATTAATTGAATACATTATTTACTGATTTTCAGAACAATATCATTCTTACTGTCAAGAAGCACCATAACTGATGATTTATTAGTAGAAAACCAATTTTAACCAGCACAACAACAAACATTATATACACACATTTAATTTTTTTATTTTAATATTGAAGCCTTAAATTATAGGGTTGAATTACAATAACCCATCTCTAACTTTCTCAAATTGAATAAAACGTTAATGTTGTACCACTACTCACAACTTGTGATATTATAAAAAATTATAACTTATTGACAATGAATTTTTTTTTTAAATTGTTCTTGTTCATTTTCTATTTTGTTCAATTGTTCACTGTCTTAGTTGTTAATTACATTTATCAAGCAATAATACAAATGTCTGTCACAAACTCTCTTCTCAACACAAGTTCTGCTTTTGAAAATAGAGCCAATATATAATTAATATATCTTCTTTGTAACATATATACATTATTATTTAAAATTTTTATTTGTTGTCGAAAATATATTATTTTTATCATTTTTATTTTATTTATTTATGAAATAATTGCTGATTAAATAATTGCTTATTGCGTTTAAAAAAATGAAATACTCAATGCTAAAAGTATTTGAAGACTTATTCAAATACTTAACTATACATGAGTATAATTTAATAATTGTATAGCTTATTGTTATTAAAGTATATAGATTATATATTATATTAGGAATGGCCACAATGATCTGATTCATGTCTCTCTTAAACATTGAATCAAGCTCAGACAAAAATTTATAAATTTATAATTCTGTTTGAATCATTAGATACCAACTAACAAAAGAGTATGCTGTAAGACTCATTTCAATCTCTGGAACTACTTATATATGTGAATCATTGTACATTAGTACTCAATGCTTAAATTCATTAAATCTAAATATCAATTTGAACCAACTGATGAACATTTAAATACACTTATGCAAACTGCTCTTACAAATTAATTCCAAAAAACTTAAGAAAAAATTAACACTCGAAAAAAAACTTCTCATAAGTAAAACAACAATAGTATTATAATAATGTTTGATAATTCTTAATACGTTTTGTGAAGTGTAAAAAATAAATGTTCCTTCATTTGACTTAAAATGAAAAATGTGTCTTCATTTTATAAATTTTGCTTTACATAGGGCTCGCCTCGAATTAGTTTTATAAATTTGTGACTTCCAAAATTAAAGTAAGTGTCCACCCCTGTACTATATAATAGACTATATAATAGTCAAGTATAGAATCACTAGTGTGTATAATTAAGTATAGAATAAAATATACAATATTTTACTTAGATACAATATCATGCTTAACTAAACATTTTAAGCAGTTATACTATAATGTTTATGTTAAAATTAATAAAACCAAATTTAAATCTGACTTAATTTTTGATTGACTTTGAAAAAGCAGTAATGAATTATATTAAAAGCAAATTTCCTAAAAGTAACATTCAAGCTTATTTTTTCCACTTAGGTAAGTCAAGCAGTATGGAGGCGTATTCAAGAATATGGATTATTAACTTAATATTATAGAGATTCTATATTAATTGCTCTGGAGTTGAGAAAATTAGCATGTATTGAATTTGTTCCAATAAAAAAGATGACAAAATACTTTGATGGTCTTTTATGTATCTTTTAATAAGATGGATTTTGTACAGCTTATTACTGAAAATTTACAACCAAAAAAATCTAACTAGGTGTAAAAAAATTGTTACATTATGCAAAGATTTCGGGAACTGACGTTTGAATGAATATTTACCAAGAACCAACATTTGCTTTTAATAAGTTATTTAAATTTAAATATATATTATAATATAATTTTAATTACCTAGGTATGGTATAAGGGTATTTATCAATAATAATATTTTTATCACAATTTTAATCTGGTGCATATTTTATTATGGGGGTAAATTTTAATGACATTCAATATTTAATTAATTTAGTATATTTTAATAATCATGATGCATGCTGACTTGCCTTGAACTTAAAAATTGTATTATTGTTCGCTGAATTATTGTTGTGCATTAAATTGTGGCAGATCTAGCTATTTTATGATATTTTAATATTCATAAGCTATGCAATTGTAATATTTAAAAATTTGATCCACAAGCAGTATCATATTATTATGGTACAAAATAAACAAAGCTGGGCACTAACTAGTTAGAAAGTCAAAGTTAAGTTAGAAAGATACTTAAAAAGTAACTTACCAAGTTAGCGAATACGATCTATAATATTAATATGTAGGATGGTATATTTTATGATATTGTGATTAAAGTAAATTATTTTACTATTAGCCATTAGTAAGTATTACAGTAAGTTAAATTCATTAGAGCCGAGAAAATGCCATTGTGTGTAAAATATAATAATAGATTCTAAAAGTTTCAAGTACCCACAAACAATATTTTTAAATTATAACAAAAAATCTGGAATTGTTATCCTTGGTTTTAATATATAGTTTCGTCCAAATTGGGAACTTAAAAAATAACTATAAAATAAAACTGTGTATATATATTTTTCAGATTTATTGGTTACAGAATGTACTGCTTATGTGGGACCTTGTTTTCAATTTTTAATCCTTAGCGATAAAAATTGTACATTTTAAAAATTTTTAACTACAAAATAATTAGTTCAATTTCAATTAGAGACATTTTGTCAAAATCTGAACTTTGAATTCTTATAAAAAAAATCCTACCTATGTATTTTAAATATTTTTCAACTGATATTGTAACAATGTGTGATGAGCCTTGTATTAATTTTTCAAGGTTGTGCGACCAACAAATAAAATTTTATTGATATTTAAATTTAAAAAACTAAAAAAACTTAAAATTTAAAATGCCTGTTTACAGCTTAATACAATTAAACATTTTTGTACATTTAATAAAGTATAGAAAATGATGAAATAAACATAAAGTGCAAACTCCTAGTATCCACGGTTATTTGTTTTTGAATTACAACTATATAAAAAAATTCGAGCCATGAGAAATTAAGTGAATTTCATGAATAATATGAATAATGCGTAAAAATTTAAACTTCAAACGCTCATATAAATTTAATTTGAAATTTTTTTTATTAAAGTAGGCAAATTTATAAGGAATCTTTTATTACATTTTCAAATCTTAGATATAAAATGAAATTTTTATGAATTTCTTAATTAAAATTATTTGCAAATTATTTAAATTATGATGAATTTCTTAAAAATTTTAACTTTAAATACTTATAAATAACTCAAAAAGAGTCAAAATATTATAAAATTGTATCATGCATCGAAAATGAAAAAAAATAATTAATAATAATTTTTTATATTAAGGTTGTCTTTATTTTTATGATGATATAAATATTATTAACATGATAACAGTGTTAGAGTAAAATTACCAAAATCAATGGTTAACTACAGTAACAATGAGGGGGAGTGCTCATTTTTCATGCTGCCGACTATAGTTGACGTTGACCACTTTACTTTAGCTTCTATTTTTTTATTATTAGACATAATATACAGTATATACAATTTAGCACAATAAGTTTATATGAAAACAGTAGAACACAACAGCTATGTAAGCTGTGATCAAGCAGCCACACATTAGGATATTTAACTCTAGGCTAATGATTTAAACTTAAGCTTCTAAAGATAAAATAAACTGTAAATGTGTACATTATTAGTATAAAAAAAGTTATAGTTTATAAATTCTAGGTAAGTTGCAATACGTTTTTATTTATCTTCAGAACAATATCATTCTTACTCTCGAGAAGCACTATAATTGATGATTTGTTTATAGAAAACCAATCTTAACCAGTGCAACAACAAACATATTATGTACACACATTTTCTATGTTTTTCTTATAATATTAAAGGGGAAAATTACCATAAACTATAAAATACTTTCTCAAATTGAATGAAACGTTAGTATTGTATACAACAGCACTTATGGTACAACAAAAATGTATAATTAATTGACGATGCATTTTTTTAAAAACAATTTATATTCATTTAAATATTGAATACAAATCAGATTGTATAATTAACATGAAAATATTTTATTAGATATTAACAATCACACTCTTTAACAGTTTATGCTTTTGGCGTTTTCTTTTCTTTTGAACATTTTGTGTTATGTTGAATACCAATTCTTCCTCTTCTTGGCTATTATTTATGAACATCAAAGAGTGAAAATTTTCTCCTACCAAATCCTATTTAATACATAAATTAATTAATAAATATTGTTCACTCATTTTAATATAGTAAATTTGTTACATACCCTAAATTCATTTGTTTTCTTAGTAGCAAGTACATTTAATTGCCTTAGGATAGGTGTCATATCACTGACGGATGATATTGGTTTGTGCAATGTTTGTACTAAGAATACGAGTGACCGGACAACTGGCTCAATTCCATGGTGCATATGATTTAACAATGGTATTAACGCTTCCATAAAATAACATACGCTTGAAAAAGGCATAAGTAATAAAACCTCTTCCAACTCACTAAAAATTAAGAAAATTATATTAGTTTAATTTTTAATAACTCAGTATACAAATAATAAGAATTATGAAATGAGATTGTTCTAGTAAATTCAACTTGCCTAGAGCGTATCCTTTTAATTATTTCCAATAAATAATCGTCAGTGGTTTTAACATTAAAAGCAGTCATAATTATTGGTAATGTTGGTTTGTCACCACCTTTATTTTCACATTCTAATAGGTTATCTTTGTATTCTTTGATCACATTTAAACATTCCAACAATAATTCAGCCTAAAAATAATAAAATTAAAAACCTTTAAAGACCTTTAAAAACAATATTAATGAATTGAATTTGTATTACAGCTTTCTCTGATGAAATGGTCTTTTTTGTCGGCAATGCGAGAACAGATGGCCCTCCATATACATTGGTTTCTTCGCCAGTGGCTAGTTCTTTATCATCTTCTTGTGCCCTTTCTTCTTCCCGCTCATCTTCTAATACAAGGGGCTCTTCTGTTTTTTCATATAAACGTATAACATTGTCTTGGCCACAACTCACAACATAATAACCATTTCCGCTCACAGACATATTACGGCATTCACCTCTGTGACCCTAAGCCAAATTAAATACATAACATATAGTAATACTCAATAATAATAATAATTAATTACTTAATTAATTACTTGAAGTGTTAAAACTCTCTCAAAAACATCAGCGTCCCAATGTTTAATGTTTCCATTCTTGTCGGTAGTGAAAAATTGATGGGTCATAGGAATAAATTTAATACTGGTCAATGCAGACTCTGTTGTTAAGCGCCTATGACAATCTCCGTAATCTAAGCCCCAAATTCTGATTGTCTTATCAGCACTTGCAGTAATAATGATTGTTGAATCATAACTTATGTCCATATCATTTACTGGTAATGTGTGTCCATAAAGGTCAATGAAGTGCTAAAAAAAATATATAATTTTCATTGTTCAACGGTCATAAAAAGTTTTTCGTTTATATATTCAGAGTACAATAATAACACTCACCTTAAACGTGTCCATAAAAAATATTTTGACTGTGTTATCTAAAAGAGCAACTGCTAGCAATTTGCTATCTGGGCTTACTCTTGCGCACTGTACATTTTCATCTAACTCTAATGTCTTCAAGTGTAACAATGATAACACTTTTCTATCAGAACTCGGCAATGTTACTAGTTCTAATTGCCATAGTTTAACTGTGCTATCGCCACCACCTGTTACACAACCCAACTGTTGTTTGTTTAAAAAACAAATTGTATTAGAATGTTAAAAACAAAAATAAATATTATTTTTTACCTCATCTGGTAACATATAAATTGACTTCAAATCTTTTTGATGAGCAGAAATGCTTTCAATTATATCTCCCGCGGCTATGTCAATTACCAACAATTTACCATCTTCAAGTCCAGCTAAAATGTGTCGGTCTCCAGGGAGCACACATAAACACTGAACAGCACTAGACGTCTCAACAGTTCGAATACAATTAAGAGTTTTCCTACTCCACATTTTTATAGACTCTGAACCTCCAGTGAACATAGCTAAACTATCTGAACTAAATGATAAGACTCGAACATTTGATCTATGGCCGTGTAATGAAATCTTGCGAATTAGTTTTACTTCTTTGCCAACTGCTAATGACAAAGAATAAAACGCTAAAGTGTTATCTGCCATACTTACAACAACCTGTTGAAATTATAGAATAGATATTAAATATTTGACCATGATATTTAAAACTTTAATTGATTTGACATTACTTTAACGTGAGTCTGATTTACAACCAAATCGGCAGACCTTATTTTGTGGTCTGTCAAAATAGGAGGTAATCGTCGAACCACATCTTGTAGAGCTGGATTTTTTTCATTTAAAAATGCTGTATCTTCAATATTTTCATCCCGCCTATTAAACATAATCAATTAACAATTAATAAAGACGTAAAACCAATGAAAACTTAATTTTAGAAAACAATCACTCCCACAAAAACTGTTCATGCTTGTTTATTCTATTAATTAAAAGCAGAATTCTCATTCTGCTAACCTAAATTTCAATGTACATATTTTAACATTGATTGTCTCAAAATGATTTATATATTTCAATAACATAATATAAATACAGTGGTCTCTCAGTAATCTAGCAGATATATATCCCTCAACAGAGACTTACCAAATCAACAAAAACAATGGGAAACAATTTGAGTTTATAGGCTTTATAGAGCTATTTCATAAATAAAAGTGGTCTTAGTATTGGACGTGTGTTATGCTGGTGTATCATATTAGCATATTATCCAGAAACCAATGTATTATTATTATTAATTTAACTTACTTAGAAGCCTTCTTCCTGAATTTCCGTTGACGATTACGTAAACGTTCTAACGCTTCACCATCTCCACTAAAAATAAACAACTCCAGCAATTTTCCATGGCCATGAACACAAAGGACATGGTTAGAATTATCTGTAGCTGAAGATACAACACGACCGGGACCTTCTCTCATTAATGATCCACTTTTTTCACATTTTATTGAAGACTAAAAATAATATATATCATTATTTTTCATTTTTGTGTACAATCATAATAATTATAAACTAGTGAAATAAACACTAACAGCAAAATCCAGTAAGTTATCTGAAGTCAAAAGCTCAGACATTTTAATATCTGATTCTTCATCACTCATTTTTGATATCTTCCATGTACGTAGTTCTGCATCATTGCTTCCAGCAACAACAAAATCATCATCACGTAAAATAGACAAAGTCCATACCTAATTAAAATATTGGAAACAAAAATTAGTTTAGTCTAATAAGACAAACTTTTCAAAATCATTCTTATAAAAATATGTATTTAAGAGCAAAATAGAATAAATAAAATAAAAATATAGTTGTTTTCATGCTCATAAATAAGGCACAGACTTAAATTATGCATATGTATAATTTTATGTATTTCACCGAGAATAATTATTCTGATTAGAAAACAAAGATGATATTTTTGCATATCTGAGTGAAAATTAATAATACTTTTTGCATTTTTTTTGGATGGTGTCACAAAAGTTGCATATTTAATTTAAAGTTATTGCGGGAAGTATTTTTCAATCATCGTCTAATCGTAAATATAACTCCCAACCTTATGCTATATATTGTTGACTGTCTAAACTTTTTCGATAGACAATAGGTATGAAAAAGCAATTTTTAGATATTAATAACTAAATAAAGGTTAAATAGGTTTCCATAAATTTAGAATACTTTATACACCATTTGTGCCTGTCCGTTAGTTACCAGGTATTAAAATACTAGGTGTTCTGCTAGACATTCTAGAGGTGCCAAAGATTCTTTAAAAAAAATGTGTAGGCCATATTTCTTCTAATTATAATATTATAATTAATATATTTATGTATTTATAAGACATAATTTTGTTTTATTTTCCCCCCATTTTTTGGTCTTTCGTTGCTTTTTTATAAATTATATTACACTAAAACCTCATTAATGTCTGGACTTCATTAGTCCGAACTTCGCTTAATCTGGACAGCCGTTTATCACACTAGTTCATGATGTAGATTAAAATAAACATGAAAACGAGTTCAATTATACAACACTATATACTATTTTTTAGGTTTAATATTGTTACGATATATGTATTAGATAGACTTAAGTATTGTAAGTATAGTAAAATATCCAATAAAATTTTTTTAATTTATAATTTACGATTCTTGGTTATTTTGTTTAATACGGACTTTTATTAATTAGGACAACCTAGAACCCCAATTAGTCCGGATTAATGAGGTTCTACTGTAATTTCTATAGAAACTTTCATTGACACCATCTTTTTATCAATATTTTTTTTTAACTCTCGCTCTATAGCACAAGCTTAGTTTTTTAAAAAGAGAATCAAAAACAGAATAATTTACATATATATGTTTACAAAAAAATAGTATTTTAATTCCTTAATGTATTGTTATTACTATTTTTGATATCAAATTAATTATTATTAACTATAATTTAAAATATATGTAATTACAATGCAATCTTATGGGTTATTAGGTTATGTAACTACGATAAATAATAAAAATATTATTATTATTATTATTTAATATAGATTCTTAGCTATAAAAAATACTAAGGTTACCCAATTCTTTTTAAAATACGTTTAGAAACCAGGAATTTAACAGCGTCACCGAGTAGGATTTCTAAATTTGTTTTTTTGAGTTTAATGTTGAGCTCTTTTCATAATTAAATCTTACTTCAGTTATGTGACCAGCCAGTGTTTTGAAACAGTGCCCAGTTGTTAAATCCCAAAACTTGATATAAGTGTCCTTTGAAGATGTCACCACAACGTTGTGCTTGTTTATAAATTGTACTCCTGTCACTACACCCTTATGTCCAGACAACCTATGTAATCCCTTTTCAGCTATGACATCCCAAATGACTGCTTCGGTATCCTGAAAAATGATAAATCATATTATATAATTATTAAGTTTATAACCATGGACAAAAATAACATACCTTGGAACCTGAAGCGAGCATGTGACCATGAGTGTCATAAGTTAGTGCAGTTATGGCAGAACGATGACCTTGGAATGTTCCAATAAGTTCACCAGTAGCCAAATTAAACGTATTCACTAAACCATCAGAATAACCTACAGCAATATGTTTACCCTCCGAGGTAGTGGCCAACTTAACGACAGAAATCTTTTTCGATGTATTATTTTTCATGTCTTCATCTTCGATTGTCATAACCTGATTGACAATGAATATGTATATATATACAAGTAATGGCACTAACAAAATGACTTAGCTAACTATAAAACGTCATGTTTACCAATTTTTCCAAGCGCAAGTCCCAAATGATAACATTTTCGCAAGCGCCGACAGCAACATATCTGCCAGAAATACCGTTTAGCGTGACAAAGACTACATTACAGTCAGGATGGCAAACGATGTTGAAATTTTTCCACGGAACGTAACGCAAGTATTGCTTGGTTATACCCATTTTAAATGATTTTAAACTAAACAAAAAATAATAATATCAATAACAACATATTTCCTACACGGTAAATTTACACGACGACGGACTCGTCGCCGATTCGTGACTTCTGCCACTGCCTAACTTTCACAGACTGAAACGAAAGAGACTTCTACCTACGTCTGTTTTGACTGGCAACTACGAACGACGGCCCTCGTAGATAGCGGACATTAATCGTCACTCATCGAGTCGTAAAACTACGATTTATTTACCTGAAGTGATGGGCAGCGAAAGAGTGAGAATCATAGCATCAATGACAAGACGAATTGAAAGGTTTTGATGTAAATCGTAGGCAGTAGTAAGTTCGTAACGTAAACGAAAATTGATTTATTAACCAACAACGCTACGAGCCGCTGCTTGCCGAATAACACCGATCGGAATCACGTGCGTCTTATCACACCACTGCTATCAGTAAACACAAAATCACAAATATAAGCGTCCGACATGAAGTTACGAACGCTGCGGTTCGTTCCGTTTCCGACCCGTCAGGATTTAAAATGATAAGAAAGCATTATCTCTCGAACCGTTCGACCACCGCGCGCCGATCGCCGAATCGCCGGGCGGTTTACAACACGGTTGCGTATCTACAGGTATACGGTTGAAAATATCGATGGTGTTTGAAAATATTTTCAAACTAAACTGTTATTAGTTGTTAAATACGTCAAATCTCAGGAAGCCCTAGTGTCGCCTTAACCTTTTTCACCACTGTTATACATTAAACAATTACTTCTAAACACTTCTGTCCGCTCGACCGTATGTCAATGTGACCGAATTTTTGCTAATTGCGTTTTTATTTACATATTTTCAAAGTAATATTTTGTTCAAACGTCGTCATTTTTGTACTTCGAAATGGGTCGAGCAGCATATAAATGCTGTGTGCAGAACTGTTCATTTAAAGGTAAGGTTTTTATTTATTTCGCACATCGATTCATAGTAAAATATAGTACAGCTGTCTGACGGCCGTGTCAACCTTTCGGAACTAACGGACTAGGTACTAAGTTCACAATTTTGAATTCTGTGTATTACAAATGCACTATGAACTATACATATATATTAATGTTTAAAAACGTTTGAAAAAAAATTTTAAATGTTAGTTGACAGAATAATTTTTGTACACAGTGTTGTACAACAAATTCCGCCCTAAAGGTTAATACAATTTAAATGCTTTTTTCCCCCTCTAAAGACAGTTGAAATTGAATTGCTCTCTAATAAGGTGCTCCACAAAACTTTACCTTATTTATTTATCTATAAATCAAACTCCATTATACAACACTTTTATTAAAAATCTAGTTAAAAATTAATTGAACTCTATTCGAGTATAAGAATATTTTATAACTAATTCTTATATACTGAGTTTATTTGATGGTGACAAATATCACCTTATGGAAAGTGCTTAAACATCTAAATTTGCATTCATAAAACTATAAATTAATATAATAACAATTAACAAAGGGTTCCTAAATATTCCAATAATATCCACATTTTTCTGCCGACCATTGGACTATATTATATTATATTAACTAGTCAATTGTTATTTATGTGTTTTAATTTATAAATTATTACTATAGATGGTGTATCTCATAGATTTCCAAACCCCAAAATATACGTGGATATTATGAAAGAGTGGATCAAAGCCATTGGGCTAGAATTTTTCTATGGGTTGGATCCAGAAACTATTTATTATACCAAACGAATTTGTTCCAACCATTTTACTTCTAGTGATTATAGTACAGGATCAAAAAGGCTGAAAAAAAATAGTATTCCCACTGTAAATCTCTCAAGTCCCACAGACCGGTAAATGTTTAATATAATTAATTCAAATGCAGTAGTTTAATAAATGTTTTGTTGTTTAGTACGGTTTCCAAGGCGCGACTTAGCATGCGCCGCGGAGACCGTACTGCAACAAGAGCAGTGTTTTGCCACAGCCACTGGCGAGTATATATATACTGGAGTATCCAAATAGGTTAAAATCAAAACACACTTAAACATTTTTTAAATATTTTGACTCATATTGAACTATTTATAGGCATATGAAATTTTCGATTATTATTATTAGTTATTAAGAATTATTATAAGAAATTAAAAAAAATTGAACGTTAATCCACAAAATTATTTTATGAGTGTCTTGAAGTTTGATTTTGGCAATTTTTGTGAAAATCAAGAAAATTTGTTATTGAAATAATATTTGAGTTAGTAATTCGTACAATTTTTTCATTTTATACCCAAGATTTGAAAATGTAAAACAAGATTCTCATAAGTTTTTCTACCTTAATCAACCAAAAAAAAGTGGGTTAGTTTATTTACAACAAAATAACATAAATCATTATTCTTAGTTATTTAATATGTAAATTTCAAGTATCTGCCTTTATTCGTTTTTGAATTACAACAAAATAAGACAATCGCAATACAAGAAATGGAGTGAATAATGTTGTAAAAATGTCAACTTCAAACGTTCACAAAAATGTAATTTGATTTTCTGGTAGAATTTTTTTCTTTGATAAAGGTAAACAAACTTGTCATGAATGAGTTAGTTAACTAATCACACCAGTAGCGAGTATATACAAGCATTTTTGAAAGTCAAATAAATCTATTTTACTTAAAAAATAATAAAAATAAATTTTTCTATTAATTTAATATAAAATAGAAATAACTAGATTAATGACTAGATTACAATTAATTTTTTCCAGCTTTTCACCCAATTTAAGTATCCAGCAAAGTAAAGAAGCAGATTGTTCTACCAAGGCTGTCATAGACGTCAGGGTTAATGAGTTTGGTGACAAAGAATCTCCCAAGTTCCAGGCATGTTCATATGCCGGAAAACGCGGACGATCCAAAACAGACAAATTGGAAGTTTTGATAGCCTAGAGAGTAAAAGATCAAAACACAATTATAGAGACCATTGAAAAACAACAAATAGTTCTTTAATATATTAAACATGCATTATAATATTATAAATCGACGGTATTTTGTTATTCTGTAGGGGCGTTTTTACCACCAAAAATCGAAAAATACGTTTTTGGTATCAACATTTTCAGAAAAATCACAAAAATAATCTGATAAAACGGTGTGTACATCTACGAAAAAAATAAGATAACAATACCGAGAACAATATATCTAAACGCCCTTTTAAAAATTAAAATAATCTACACAGAACTGTTGAAAGCGCTTATACCACATCTAATGTATGTTAATTGTCTACAACCTACACAGTTTGTAACAATAATTATGAATTTAGTTGTTGTATATTACCATATTCTATCCTAAAAATTGAGTATTTAATAAATTTTATTTTATACTAAAATTTGGTTTACTTCTTTTAACCAAATACCGTCGATATTGCAAATTTGTAGATTTTTAAAATACAATGACTGAATCAAATGTTCCTTATTAAATTACAATTATCTAATTAAACTTTTATTTTGATTGTTAAATACATTTTTAAGTTTTCTGATGTATGATGATAGTCAATTAGTATGTAATCGTATATATTATATTGTAGGTTGTAAAAGTAAAATTACCAAATATGTAACAAATGTTCCTTATTGTATGTCTGTTATTTTATATTATATCAAATTACTTATCAGATACTTAGTAGTTTTATTATTTTATTGCTTTCAAATTCAGAATGTTTTATGTTTATTTGTACTTTACTTAATTCAACTTTGGATGAATTATTGAATTTATATTATACTGATTAATATTGTAAATATGTGTTTTATAACAATAAAACCTAAATTCATGTTTAATTTTGGTTGTTTTCCTTGCATTTTATTTTATTAATTAATTTAACAACATTTTTTTTCATTGGTAACTCATGACTTTTCAAGCAAATTCATCTGCATTTTTCATAAAGTATTTAACTATTTAAGTGTTGTTAAGTGTGTAGTTTTAATAGTTTTCAAGTCACAGAAAGCAATTCGAGTAATCAATCATAAGAACATATTATATAAAAAAATGCTGGTAAGGGGGTAAAGCTCTGCTGTAGTGAATGTGTTGAATTTGAATTCAATAAGATAAAATCATTGTATATGAAAAACAATTCTTGGAGGAGATAGCCCATCAGCCTATAATATTACTAAATACTAATTATAGTTGATGATATTATTGTGATTAAAGTAATTTATTTTACTAATAGGTATTAGTACTATAGTAAGATAAATTCATTTTTGAAAAAAAAATCGGTTTGGAAATGTCATTGTGAGTATAAAATATAATAATATACTCTAAAATAGTAGTACTCAAAGTGTGGTACTAGGAAAACTACAAAGAAGTACGCGCCAAAGGCTGCATGGTGCAAAAGTATGGCATTGAGCGTTAAAGAAAAGTCAATTGCTTAAATGAAAAAAAATGGTTTTTGTTCCATACTACTTGGTAAAAATATAAACAACAAATTAATCTATGCTCATCCTGAGATTTGTGTACACTATGTATTTCAAACTACATTTAAAGAGGATTTTTTATTTTGTGAAACACTATTGACACAAACCACTACTGATGAAATACGAGTATTAAAAGAATTGAACCATTTTTTTGTTGAAAATGGGTTAAATTGGAAATAGTGTGTTGTCAATAAGTGATTTTATTTAATTATATGCATAATAAGTTATCTATTTAATCTAATAATTCACTAAACTACGACTGTTCCTTAATTGTTAATAACTTGAACTTGCCTTTATTGCTACATCTAAATCTGAAGATGTTCTCTGGACTCTGAGGCTTAAGAAAAGTACTAAGTTCTTGAATTAATGTATTTGTCAATAGTTTTTAATAAATGCCAAATTTGAAAGTTCAAACGATTTTATGATGTTATTATTCACAGTTCTTGGGTTAGGTTGGAAATTAATTTGATTTTGCTGATTTTTAATTGCGAATAAACAATCTAGTTCGTCAACATTCACCATAGTTAACAATGTGGAATACGTAATTAAAATAGAAATAGAAAACGAATAATTAAATTCAAATAAAGTAAAGTTTTAATAATTAGGTATGATAACGAAAAAACAGTGACCACAATATTAAAAAATGCAATAAATTTACAACGTCGTATACGACAACTTCTTGGCGAGTGGTTAGACCCACTCTTGAAAGTCGTAACTATTAATTTTCATACGCCCGTGAACATAGGTGTATCTAGATGGGCTTAGACCTCTCTCCCCCCTCCCCCCCCCAGAATTATTGTTGTCTACTTCAGATAAATCATAAATGCACAGACTTCTATACTAATCAGTAAACTGATTCGTATAGAAATCTGTGGGTGAACGTGCTTACCATAATGTACTTGACGTGGTGAATGACAATACGTCCTATTAGAGGTACTAATGTTATCACATTTGTAATTAATAATTATCAGTACTTTTCTTAGTGATGATTGGGAAAAGAAAAAATCAATTAAGGAAAAACGGACATTTTTACAATTTTTAGTACCTACCAGTTTAGACAAAAACGATAGTGTTTTTTTGTTTTTGGTGTAGATTCGAAAAGCTATTTCAGTAATATTATGAGTATGATATTTTCAATTGTATGTACCTACCAGGGCTCGTAAGTTCATGCATTTGCATATTTTTTTTTGCTACACAGAAAAATATGCTAACTGAGATAGTGAGATACAAATCCGTTTCATAACAATAGTAATAATAATATGAAGTTTAATAGTGCATGTTTTTGTATGTTTTGGGTGTAAAGGCATATTTGGCATATAATCGTTTTTTTAGAGTTTTATAGCGCATATTATTTCATTAAAAAAATTGTTTAGAAAAATATTTGAAATGTTTCTTGTTTCTTATTTACTTTCCCGTTTACTGAATGAAAGTGTTTTGATTTATTTTTATTTTCGTGTGACTACTGACTAATTACTTTTCTAGATTTCCCTATTTAGATTTTATGCGTTTTACTTAGTACCGCGGAAACAATTTTATAGCTACCACTACCATCCTCCGCCGTGTATAGTCCCTCGTCGAAACGATACCTGTACAATGTTTCTTACCAATTCGCATCTATAATTTTGTACACTGGTACAGTATAGTTTTCTTGCACACGCCAGTCTCCGATGAGTTGTTTAACTGTACGAGTCGTTAAAATTTCAAATAACTAATATTTCATTCCAAATATTTTCATTGTAGGTGCAGGATAATGGTGTACAAAAATTGGACAAAAAATGACTACCTAATTAAAATTAATAAAGATAACAAATCCATGTGATTATATATTTATATGAACTTCACAAGTATTCAATTTATTAATTTTGATTGTTAAATATATACAAATTAAAAGGAATAAAATACTTTTAAAATTAATGGATAGGTATATTCTTATTATTTTAAAATTTGCTCATAAATATTTTACATAATTCATATTTTGAGTGCATAATTTAAAAATGTAAGGGCATTTAAATGCATATTTTCGAACTTTTTAGTGCATATTTTAATGCATGTTTTGCCAATTTTTAGTGCATGAATGCATGCTTGTTTGTGCTTTTTTTAGTGCATGAACTTTCGAGCCCTGGTACCTACATATACTTTTCAACTTTATATTATATCGATAATTTCACTTGGTAGAAAAATTGGAAAATTGAATACGAAATTCATAAAAGTTACGAAAATCCACTTAATATTGTAAGTAAGAAATTCATAAAATAAGTCTTTTTATATTGAAGATTCAAAAATGAAATACAAGATTCCTCATTTACTTTTTCTGCCTTTAACAAGGCATGATTTTTTACATTAAAAATTTTTTATGAATTTCTAACTCAAAATAATTTTCCAATTTTTGTGATTTTGATGAATTTTGTTAAGTCTTCATAAAAACTTATGAACATTGTTGTATACAATTTTCAGTTGTTTTGACGGAGTGAAAAATTTTTTATCGACAATAAGTAGTTCAAAAAGCTAATACAACTCGACACTTGTACGTTTCTTATGCCTATAAATTGCTCAAAAAGAGTCGAAATATTTGATGGTGTTGATAAATTGCCAATATAAACATTCAATGAAAATTGTATATATCTACAGTAATTTTATAGAGTTTCCAAAAATTGGTTTTGCGTAAAAATGTCAGTTTATCTTTAATTTTTTTTTTTGTTTTTTATGAAGCTTTTGAAAAGTATCAGAGTAATTTTTTACTCTTAACCAATAATCACCCAAAGTACTCGTACCAACAAGATTCAATTTTCTATCAGAAAAGATGCTGTTGAAGAAAATCGAAGAACCTATTTTTAATTTTTACTCTCCCAAAATGGTGATGACAGACCCAAAAACCAATTTTTTCAAAAAAAACCCGCGTTGTAAAATCAATCACAATATGTTAACAACAAGAAAATATATTTTTCTGTACTAAAAGCACAGTGGGTGTGTACATGGAATTGGTGTATGGAGTGGGTTAGGTACCTTTAAGAAATTTTTAAGTCTGCTTGAAACTACTATAGATTCATTAGATTTTAAATAATTAAATAAACATATAAAAAAATATATATTGTCAGAAGGGTACGTGGTTGCTTGTGCCCTCTTAGATGGGGTAAACGTATACTAAACCAATACCTAATTAAAAAATAAATCACAATAATACAATATATAGTTCTAAAATTTGGTTTACACTTTTACAGTTAGTTTATAACATTAATAGACTAGATATCTGTAGAGTTACAGAGGTTAAAAGTAAGGCTAAAAGCCAAAACAGAATTATATGGATCACTGTGCGGACAAATATTTTGATTTTGATTTTAACTACGGTATTTAAATGCATATAAATATATTAAGATTCTTGTTTTATTTGATCTAGAATTCGAAGGGAAGGAGTTGCATAAATCGAAAAATATCATGTTAAACCGAAAACAATTAATCCATTAAATACCTACATTTTTTAATTACAAGTAAACACATTTATATTTAGTATTGAATTCACACTCAATGATCAAAATTCTAAGGCTGTGCGGATTATTTTGTGATAGTGTCGATAGTGATGATCTTAACGTGTTTTTTAAATAATTTTTTTCGATGAAAAAATCTTTTACCAGTATAGTGTACTCTGGATGTTTGAATAATTCTTTTACCGAATATATGTCTTATATCTAGGTAGAAACCAATTTAAAATTTAAATTCTGAGTTCCGAGTTCATTGAGTATACTTATATGTTTATTCATGTATTATACAAAATTAATATCCGTAATAAAGATTTTCATGCTGTGATAATAAATATTGT